AAAATAATTTTTTTTTAAAATATTTTAAATATAAATAAAATAATTTAAAGATAAAATTATTAAATTACAGAGTTTCTATTCAAGAACCAATCAAATTGCTCAATTTTTGAAAATAAAGCAATTTGATTGGTTCTTGAATGAAAACTCTATAACTTAATGATGTTATGTATTTTATTCTTAAATTAATATTTTTCTTATAATATCAATCTAAAAAAATTGAAAATACAAAAATTTTAAAGTTAAATATATGTATAACTAGAAAACTTTTACTATTTATTCATATACATAGTAACTTTAATTCATATTTTTTAGCTAAAACTTGTCTTTCAACAAATAATAAAAGCTTTCTAGTTATATAATCAATTTTAAAATTTTAATTTCTTAACTATAAATAGAAATAATTACATTTAGTAATATTCCTAGCTATCCGTTTATGGACAATCAGCAAACTTGATTGAAGAAGTTAAACCAAGAAATATTATATTGATATCGCGAAGTTGGATACTAATCATTTTTAGATAGATACTTTTCATTACTACATTTATTCGAATAGCGATAGTACCCAGATCTAAATCATGGAGGGTATTATTTTTGTATACGGTAGTTATATTCTTAACGTTAAATCAGGAAAGTATAAATTATACATGTAAAATCTAATATTGTCCGGAGTAATCAGTTGTTTTAAAAAAATAACGATAAATCTAAAAAAATAATGCACATACAGGGAAATACTACATAAATGCTGTTGTCAAATGTAACACTAAATGATTGTTGGTTAGTATTATCAATTATAGTCATTAGTTATTGTCAATTTCTTGCACTATCAAAAAACTCAATTCAACTTATTTTATAAAATTTACTATAATGTCTTCAATTTTGACTAAGGATTTTTCACCACCTGACCCTTCCTCTTTCACTTCCACATTAGCCTCATCTACCTCACCATCTGGCTCTTCAAATCCTTCTTTAACACCTAATGGTAGAACCACCACTACCCCAATAATGTCAAATAGCAACATCAAGTATCGTTACGCTACCAGCACACATAACTCTTCCGCTCAACCCTCAACAAACCAATTTCAACGTGCATACTACTCTTTCCCATTATTAGATAGAAATCACACACCACGAAATATTGCAGTATATTCGTTCTTAATTGGGGCAACTTTTGGTGTGGGTATATCGGTAGCTGTTGGCTCAAATACGGTGCCTCAATTGGGTGGATTCCTTACGGCGTTAGCCTTCTTTCATATCATGGAGTATTTGTTGACAGCTATGGTTAATGCGGATAAATTGTCTATGGATGGTAAGCTATTATTTTTGATTTTTGGGGAATTTGCAGGATTGTTTCTCAAGTAATGGTGGCTATCATATAATTCATTTGTACTGATATATCGTCGTGATCTTTAAATATCATCAGCATTCCTTATACATAATGGTATCTCGTATCATATAGCACATACTGCTGGTCTGATTGAATTTCTAATAGAGTTATATTTCTTTCCGGAATTGAAAAAAACTGAGTGGGCTATTTTTATAGGTGAATATTTATTTGATTATTAATTTTGAATCATGCATAATGATAATAATGGTAAATCAATAATCACTTAAATCTATTAAACATTATCATCACTATTAATCAATGTTATCAAAAACATCACGCGGATTACAGAAAACACTAACCACAAATCTTTTAACCAAAATAGGAGTGCTACTCATAATGATAGGACAAACGGCACGAAGTCTCGCAATGTGGCATGCGAAGCACAACTTCTCTCACCAAATTGCTTTTCAAAAACGTCGCGACCACGAACTAGTCACCACTGGCATCTACAGCATCTTACGACACCCTTCCTATTTCGGATTCTTTTATTGGGCGGTGGGCACCCAAGTATTGCTGTTTAATCCTGTCTGTTTTGTTGGCTATTGTGTGGTGTTGCATCGGTTTTTCCGGGATCGGATTAAACATGAGGAGTCGTTGTTGATTAAATTTTTTGGCGAGGATTATTTGGCGTATCGACAACGGGTTGGGGTTTGGATTCCATTTATCAAGTAAACTTTGTAGTGTTATTTATGAGGAAAGGGAAAATCAATTGGGTGTATAAAGTTTTGTGATTCTATGATCGTTTACAAAATAGTGAGATTAATTTATTAGTTTTTTTTTCTTGATTAATTAGTAGAGGTTCAAAATAAACAAATTATACTTGTATATAATAATAAATAGTTATTAATTCTATCAATCATTGATGCTTTATATTAACATCATTTCCCTCGATAATCGCAATATATAACTGCATTACGATAACCCTTATCTCCATACCGAAAACGGTTCTTAATTTATCTATTGAAGGTTGATACTGAAAAGTGATATTGAACTCAGATCGACCAAAATAATGCTCCTAGGATCATCCATCAGGTTACATACGTTTCTTTAATATATTTTGTATTGAAGAAGACACAATGGTAACAACCTTTGTTTTATGTCAACTAATATACAAGTTAATTATATTAAAACCATAAAGTAATACTACTTTATCTTGTAATTTTTAATATCTAATAAGATAACACAGAATTTTCTTGATTATCAATCTAATAATTTTCCAGAATTTTATTATAGAATTTCATAATATGGTGTGTAACATTTTTAAACTTAACCAGAAATCTGTGCCAGGTTTTGTCAATCACAAACCAATAGCCAATAAGAATATACAATTTTTGGAGTATTTATTAAGATAATTTTATATATACAATCAAATTTCTCTATAATTATACTTATTTATAATTACACCTATTTATAATTATCTATATATTAATTATAATAAAAAATCTTTATAATCATTATTTAATTCAGTTAGAAATATTATTAAATACAAATGGAAATAATTATTTTTTTTAATAGTTAAAATAATTTCTTAGAACATTTTAAATATAAACAAAAAGATTTAAATTGATATTTTTCTTATAATATTAATTTAAAAAGTTAAAAATACAAAAATTTTGCAATTAATAAAGCTTTTATTATGTATTTATATATTATCAAAAGACAAATTTCAGCTAAAAAAATAATTAAAAGTTAATTAAATTTTAAAATAATTTTTATTTATGTTTTTTTAACTGAAACTTGTTTTTTGACAATATATAAATAAATAATAAAAGCTTTATAATTATATAATTAATTACAAAATTTTTATATTTTTAACTTTTTTAGATTAATATTATAAAAAAATATCAATTTAAATTTTTTTGTTTATATTAGAATATTTTAAGAAAATTATTTTAATTATAAAAATAATAATTATTTCTATTGTTATCATTCTTATATTGATAAGCAAGATATTAACTAATTATAGTAATTAATTAAGAATTATATAAGAGTAATAATAGTAACTATATATACTTGAGAGAGTTGAATACTAGATGGTTGGGAGAGAGTATTAAAAAGAAATAGATTCTGATACTTTCACTAGTTGGATAAGTATTTTATAATTTAAAAGTGCGAATGATTATTAAAATACAAAAGATAACTTTCATTAGTTGGGTGAGTCAAAGTTAAGTAAATAATAAATCAAAGTTAACAATAAGTAAAAGATTAATTAGAAGTATTAGTTAACTTTTATATTTTTATTACTTTTAAAATTACTATTAAGATTCTTGTTATTCTATATTAAATTACATCTGTTTAAATACATGTAAATATAATACAGATCTACATTATGAATGATATTACTTAAAAACAGTTATAAGATAAATTTGGAAGAAGTGCAACACCAAGAAATGATAAGTGTAATACTAATTTAATTTAAGCGATATAATTAAAATTAGAGTAACATTAGTACTACATTAATTAATGTTAAATAAAATTAATTTAAAATAGAATGAATTTAGATCCAATAATGTTATAATAAAATAAATTAAGTAATATTAAAAAGAATT